AAATATTTTCGGGGGTGGGGTGGGGTGGGCGGTCAACATTTTCCAGGGGGGGGGGGGGGAGGGGCGGACACTGGTAAAAAGATATGTTTTCTATATAAATTCCGTGTCGTTCGGGGGGGGGGGGGGGCGGTAGACTTTCTTCGGGGGAGGTGGAAAGATTGCCTGGAAGAAACTCTAATCTAAACTGTTTTTTTATATTAGCATAGTCCTACACGTTATTGCAGCAAGACTTAGATTCATATAGGATATCTGAGCGCCGCCCTTAGATCTAGTTTAAAAAAAAAAGAATTATCGCAACATTTCTTGCGCAATGCCCGTACTCTCAAAACGAGACGGTAACACGCCCACTGTGACACACCTCGAGAGCTTGTATGCTCGGCCGTTGCTAAGTTCACACATGGGACAAGTAAAGCTGACACACATACACCTACACATTTACATCTTGCAACTTTGTATAGACCTACACGTTGAATAGCCTTATAAGCATGCTTACATTTACATGCCTTTCGAATAGGCCTAAAAAGATTAAAGCGATAAAATAACTGTGGTTTAATTCTGGATCTAATTCAAAGGACCATGAGGTCTGTCTGTCTGTCTGTCTGTCTGACGGTGGTTCTGCTACGGTGGAGGGGTGAGGGGGCGCCTTATTTAATGGTGTATTATCGGGGTTCTTTCAGACAGGGGGGGGTCCGTAATTTTTGTGATGATGTGTGATGAGGGGGGGGGGGGGGGGGGTTCAGATAGTGCGACGTCACACTTTAGCATTATAAAAAAGCAATGTTAGAAAACGAATTTTAGGCATTATTTCTCGTTTTAGACCAACCAACTATTTTTTAATAAATTGTAATAGGAATTGATTAAAATACTCCATTTTGACAGAGTTCTGACAAGATTTTAGAAAAATATCGATGTTTAAAAAAAACATCCAACTGCAATTTTGAGGGGGGGGGGATTGTAGGTGAGGTGTGACGTCCATTATTAAGGGGGTGGGGGGTCTGGCTTTTTGTGACGACGTGTGAGGGGGGGGGGGGGGAGGTAAAAGTCGTCAAACAAAAGCGTGACACCATCTATGGTCAGAGTTTCTTCCAGGCATCTCTTCGGGGGGGGGGGGCTTCGCCCGAAAAAATTTTAACAGTGTCCGCCCCCGAAGAAAGTTTACACCGCCCCCCCCCCCCCCCCCCGAAAATTTCAAGTGCCCCCCCCCCCCCCCCCCCCCCCCCCCCCCGGAGAAAAAAGTCTGGAAGAAACACTGTCTATGGTTGACCCCTTATTAAAAAACACAGCTCCGTTGAAAAAAATAAATAAAATAAGTTAAAATATTTAAATCAGTCTTGTAACGCATACAAAAATAATTTTTATGACTCATTCGCTGAACTAAACTTTGTTTGTTTGCGAAAGCCATTGATAAAAGCTGTTATTATTAGGCCCTACTAAACAAAATGATAATATTTAATGCATCAAATATGTTATAACTATTACATGGGATGGGGTTATATTATAGCTATTCCTGCTCCAAGTGGGGCCTACTTAAAGGCTAAAGACTAGAACAGGTTTGGTTGGCACTTATATATTTATCAAATCTTTGTAGGCTACCAGTATCGATTATTTTTACGAAAAGTATCGATACTCGAAGTGTATATTTAACATTGTAGGTCAGGCTCGTAGCCCCTGCAAGCCAGAATTTTTATATTATTTTTGCTCAGCTTATGAGTCAGCCGAAAGATATTACTATTGAACTCTACAGGTTAGTCTGATTCATTATTAATATTAATTTATTATGATATCTATATCGTGATTTTACCTGATATTATTATTATAGATCCAGAATGTATTAGATTTCTATATAAATTTCCAGCTGAGAGGAATACAGAAATGAATAGTCTCTAAAAAAATCTAAAAAAAAACACATTAAAAATGATTAATGACAGTCACAATGGTCAATGAGTCGATGCGATGAGTGATGAGACTCATTAATTTTATGAATTAGGCCTACTCACTACTCAATACAATAGAATCTAGATCTGGATTATAGATTCTAGATCTAGATCTATAATATAATTAATATTCTACTCATAACTCAGTCTCAATGAGTGCTACTCTTAGGTCTTAGAGGTCTTAGTCAATATTTAGCGAGTGCAGTTGGGTTATTATTAAAATATTAGTTTATTATTAGAGAACTACCAAAACATAAGAATTCTAGATCTAGACTAGATCTAGATCTAGTTATTTTATTATTTACTAGATTCTAGATCTACTTACTTTACTTAGTCTAGCCTAGTCAAGTCTGTACTCAACAATTATGACAATTATGAATAGTTGGCAATAGGCCTAATTGTTTTATTTGTTCAGCAATCCAACATACTACATACTTGTTCATTTTGAAGAGAAATAAATTATCTTGGTTTCAGGATTGTCAAAGAAAAAATAGTTTAAAAAAAAACCCAGTGAAGATGTCTGATAAGCCACCACCACCTGAAGTTTACCCTGGCTCACCACCTTATCCATCAGCACCTCAAGCTGGTTATCCACCACATCCAGGTTATCCACCCCAACCTGGCGGCTACCCACCAGCTGAAGGGGGATATCCACCTGGTTATCCATCAGGAGGTTATCCACCGGCTGGAGGGGGTTATCCTACCACAGGGGGATACCCACAGGGTGGGGGGTACCCACCCGGCGGGGTTAATCCACAGGGTGGGGGCTATCAAGCCGCAGGGTATCCGCCTGCTGGAGGAGATGTAATAGCCATGCAACCCATGTCTGGAGGTCATCCTAACCCTGGATATTCACAACCCAGCAATGACCCGATTGCTGCTCAACCTATGCCAGGAGGTAACTAATTTTTACATTTTATTTTTTAACTAGTGTGGAAAACAGTTTCATCTACTTTCTAGGGTTCAACTATAAACAGCTGTCACAATTTTAAAATGATTTTTACGTCCCATTCTCACTAATAGCCGGAACCCCCACCCTTAACCCTTTGAGCCCGACAAGCCGGAAAACCAGCTTCAAAATTAGGCATATATGTCAGAAAAGCCTGTTTTCTGGCCCGATGATCTAGCATCAAAGTCCTAGGGGCTGGTATACCATCTTATTAAATATAGTTATCGTCGGACTGAATAAAACGGCGCACGTCTTTTTAGTGAGGTGTTATGATTCTAAAAATATATTTTGGGGAAAGTTGAAAGTGAAAGTGTTTGCATTTCGTAAAATACATTGTAAATAAAAAAAAAAACGGTTATTTTATATTATTTTATTATTCGGTTATAATTATCATTATAATAACAGTAAATAGCTAAGTTATTCTAGCTTTGTCATTATGTTAAGTAATCATTGGTATATAAATATTTTATTAGTGCAAACTTTTGTTGTACAAATAATTTTTTATTAAACTTTTGAAGATGATGTCAATTCGCTATCTTGGATTTGTAAAAAAAACTAATTTCGAATCTCGCAGAATGATACTGAGCCTTGATAGGCTACCAAATTTGGCTTGATTATCTCAAACGGTTCAAAAGTTATAGGCAAAGTTAGAAGCAGATAAGTGAAAATTGGTTTGGGCCCAGGAGCTCAGGAAATGGGAGAAATTAGGCCAGGGAGGCCAGGGTTCAAAGGGTTAAAATGACATCATACCTCAGCCTAAACCCCCACCTCCCTCAAAATTAACAATTTTTTTTTTAAAACCAATTTCTTCTAAAACATTTCCTCAGCACAATCAACATTGAGTGTTTTTATTATGATTATAAAAAAAAAATATTAAAGAAAGAACAACACAAAATAACTGCTAAAATTTAGCTTCTAACATAACTTTTCAAATGCACAAAAATGTGATTTTTCTTTTAAATCTGAATTACAACACATTGTTGGAACCTGATTAGTTTCTAATTCTATTTTGATCTATTTCATTTGATGTTATGTTCCTTATCTGCACTCCAACACTATTATTCAATATAAAATTATTGTATTTTCTATCCCTAAAAGCACCCCAACACTACCATTCATTAGATAATTATACTTTCAATCCCTAATAGTTCCCCCCAGCACTACTTTAGAAAATTATACTTTATATCCCTAACAGCAGCCCAACTCTATTATTCAGTAGAAGAAATAATTATACTTTACATCCCTAACAGAACCCCAACACTACCATTCATTAGATATTATACTTTCTATCCCCAACAGCACCCCCAACACCAGCTGGTTGGCAACCAGCCCCACAAGCATCACCATCAAACTGTCCGCCTGGACTGGACTACTTGACTCAAGTTGACCAGCTGTTGGTCAAGCAAAAAATTGAAGCTTTAGAAGGTGAAAAATTAAACTAAAGCTAACTAATCTAATGAGTGATATTCACAAATTATGTACCTTACACTCACATATAAAATTATCCAAATCTAAAATCCATATTTTTTTTTCTTGTTCAGCATTTACTGGATTTGAGACGAATAACAAATATGAGATTAAGAATTCAATGAACCAGAGAGTGTACATTGCTGTTGAGGGTATATTTTTTTTGGTCATTTTTTAAACATGTATTATAACTATTAATACCAGTACAGTACAATACACATTTTAAAAACACGTCTGGAATTTGAGCATGTCTATTTTGGTTTTTACTTCAGACACTTGCTGCTGCACTCGCAACTGTTGCGGGTCTTCGCGTCCATTTGATATGAAGATTATGGATAATCACAAGAAGGAAATCATGCACCTGTCTCGGCCTCTCAGATGTAGCACCTGCTGGTGTCCATGTTGCTTGCAGGTGAGATCTAATTTTGTGGTGCTATAGTGTTGGTGGTAGTATGGTCATTTAGGTGCTATAGTGTTATGGGCAGCATTGTCATATAAGTGCTATAGTTTTAAGGGGCAGGTTGGCCATCTAGGTGCTATATTGTTGGGGCTGGACATTTAGGTACTACAGGGTTATGACTAGTCATTTAAATGCTATAATGTTAGGTGCTATAGTGGTAAGAGCAGAGTGCGATAATGTTGAAACACTTTGTTTATCTAGTTGATACTGTATTATGGCTGTTTACCATCTAAAAGTTTTTTCAACCAATTTAAAAATTCTAGATATGCACCCGGTCAAGTCTCTGACCCCACCTAATGCTTCAGTCACTTGAGAGATTACATGACCAGACATAATAATTTCATAATCTAATCCACTGTACTACCTCTGCCTTATTCTTGACCAAGTTGATGACACTTTTTATAGCCGTGATTAGCTACGCACTGATTTTAACTCATCACAACAAAAACAAAAGCTGAAGAGAAAATTTGCTTAATGCTCTTGTATTCCCATTAACAAACAAAAGCTGAAACATTTTTTTGTATTCCCATCAAACAAAAGCTGAAAATTTCTCTTGTATTCCCATCAAACAAAAGCTGAAAATTTCTCTTGTATTCCCATGAAACAAAAGCTGAAAATTTCTCTTGTATTCCCATCAAACAAAAGCTGAAACATTTTTTTGTATTCCCATCAAACAAAAGCTGAAAATTTCTCTTGTATTCCCATCAAACAAAAGCTGAAAATTTCTCTTGTATTCCCATCAAACAAAAGCTGAAAATTCCTCTTGTATTCCCATCAAACAAAAGCTGAAAATTTCTCTTGTATTCCCATCAAACAAAAGCTGAAAATGTCTCTTGTATTCCCATCAAACAAAAGCTGAAAATTTCTCTTGTATTCCCATCAAACAAAAGCTGAAAATTTCTCTTGTATTCCCATCAAACAAAAGCTGAAAATTTCTCTTGTATTCCCATCAAACAAAAGCTAAAACATTTTTTTGTATTCCCATCAAACAAAAGCTGAAAATGTCTCTTGTATTCCCATCAAACAAAAGCTGAAAATGTCTCTTTCCCATCAAACAAAAGCTGAAAATTTCTCTTGTATTTCCATTAGCAAACAAAAGCTGAAAATGTCTCTTGTATTCCCATCAAACAAAAGCCAAAAAAATATAAAAAAATGTCTCTTGTACTCCCATCAGAAATTGACAGTCGAGGCTCCCAAAGGGTCAGTTATTGGATTTGTTCGGCAAGCTTGGAGCCTTTGCCATCCCAAGTACAAGATCAACAACGCAGAGGACCAAACAGTTCTGAAAATTAAAGGCCCATGTTGCCGCTGTAACATTTGTGGAGACATCGAGTTTGAGGTAGACATTCACTAATTGAGTGATACAAAAATTGAAAATCCTCATTGTGTATTACTATGTTTGAGGGCAATTAAGTTAGACAACTGTTTTATTTTTCTAATAAAAAACATTCTTTGACAACTTAGGTAACCTCCCCTGATGAACAGACCCATATGGGTCAGATCACCAAACAATGGTCAGGACTTGCCAAGGAGGTGTTTACAGATGCTGACAATTTTGGTGTCACCTTCCCTCTGGATCTTGATGTGAAAACCAAGGCAACAGTGCTAGGGGCCGTCTTCTTAATTGTAAGTAAACTTGACACTTGTACAACATGGTTTCCTAATCAGACACCCCTTCACACCAGGATAAAAAGTGCAGTTTTTTAAATTTATTTATTTAAAAATATTTAAAAATGTATCCTTTGTTACTATAGAAACTTTTCAAAATCAGTATTTAACGTAGAAACAATAATTCAGAAATTGTATGTTCTAAATGATTTTATTTTTTAAATATATATGTATATAAATTTATTTATCTAAATTAAAAAAAAAATGTTTTAAATTTCAAGATTTTATGTAGTTTGCTTTAAATTTCAGGATTTTATGAATTTTGCTCTTTAAATCTCAGGATTTTATGTATATTATTTTAAATTTCAGGATTTTATGTATTTTGAACATGACAGTGGGGATGTGAAAGATGAAGCCAAGCGTCTGACAGGCTAAATGTGGAGCTTCACCTGTTTCAGCTTTGTGTTTCTCTGTGATCTTCTCTAGTTGGTGCATGACGTTTTTTATAGAATATTTTAATCTGTCGACATGTTTTATGTATGTAATTTAATTAAATTTCTACGTGAATTATCAGAAACAACAATTTATGCCATAATAATCATCCTTCAAGTTTATTGTATATATAATTTGTTTTATTTTGATCACATGGTTGTTATTTGTATCACCTTTCAGTATTGTCAACTTGTGAACATTTTAATTTTTATTATTGTCGACTTTTTATTTTCTACAGTTTTTATGAAATATAACATTTTTACATAAATACTTAACAATTGTAATTATAAATTTAAAAGTGAAGTGTATTCTGGACATATTTTTATTTATATACATTTGTATTTATCCAGTCATACTTTTGGGTAAAGCCATTTGATATTTATCCTCTGTATCTGATAAAACAAGCCCATAATCTGTAGTCCCTCAGTGTTACGTTAAAACAGTCATGTAGTTTCCTTAAGTTATTATTGTTGTTTTATTGATTTACTCCAGTTTACTTTAGGAAAACCTGTGTATAAATACATTAGCTTACGACTTGCCTCCCTACTGTATTGTTGAATCATAAATTTACACTTCTTCATCCTTATGCCCCACAGAATGGTGAATATCTTATCAGATGTTTGTAGTGCCTTTTGTTAAATCTGCATTTCAAGCTTTAACTATCTGCTTCAGTGCCTGATTTAAATTTAAATTTTTGTTTTTACTTGCCGTAATAATACATGCTGTCAATAAGACCTAATACTACTTATATTTATTTTTTTATAAACTTATTTGAAGCAGTAAACTTGTGAATATCATTATGCCCATTTTTTGTCCCTGCCTTGGACTGGTTCCACATCTGATGTATAAAACTGACTACCTGTAGAGTAGGGCGTCAACTTTTTGTACTGGCTTAATGTAAACCTGTGGCAGAATTCTTCTGATGTTTGGAATCAGTTGGTTTAAGTTAATACCGTTTAATACCGTTATACCTAGGGGATCAGATCATTCGTTTATTTTTATTTTTTTTTTGGGTTGCAGCAGACGAGGGCAGCCATTTAGAGAAAATTTTGTCATTTACTTGTTGCAGTTATTCATCAATAAATTTGTGATTGCTCAATATTAGTGTCACAGCATGCAGCCAATAAGTGCACAGTTTCAAAGCAATGAATCCACACAAAAAACGTTTGTCAATGCCTCTTAACAAATGCATTTTCTTGTTAAATTTCAACTTTATACAGTTACATTATTTTAATCTGTAAATGTAGCAAATATGTATCTTCTAAAGTTTTTGTAAGTAGTGACAATTTGTTTTTACATTGTATTTGTAAATAATATTATATATAATTGTGTTCTTTTTAAACTAACATTTCCTCTATATCCACGTAGCTAACCCTTTAACTTACTTTTATGTATTTAACAATTCTGTGCCAGAACTTTCATTTTCCTGACTGCATATAGAAAATTAGCAGTTAAGTTTATATCATTTTCTTTTCAAAATGCATTTATTTTTTTAACTAAAAAAATTTCTAGTCCTGTTTTACAAATGTTTGTTTTTTAAAATCTTAATCAGATTTCATTTCTAGTTTTGACAAACACAATTATTTTAAAATTCTAAAAATTAATGTCATCTACTTCTTGCAGGTTATTTATGTGTAAACTGATTACAATTACGTGTCCAATTTGTTTATTGTGCTGAGTCTCAAGTTTAAAAAAAATTGTACTTAAGCATGAAAATTGTGGTGAAAGGATTCTTACTAGCTTTTTTTTTTTTTTTTTAAATGAACTGCTGGTTTATTTAAGTTTTGCTTTTTTATACTCTGTTTTAAGGCCAGTTGTAGTCTAGGTAATCTGTGCTTCCACTGTTTGTACACATCTCTGTATTTTTTAACCCAATCAACAAGAAATAATTTATATAATTTTACCCACAGGCCAGTTCTATAACTTCCTCAGGCTACTTACAGCAGTTATTCATTAAAGTTATTCTTTGACATTTTTTTTGTTTGCTTTCTACAGTGTTGTGGTAGCAATTCAGTGAAACACCAAAAATTTGAGTTAATGTGAGAGCTAAATTTTTTATAGAGGACAGACAATGCTCTCAAGCCTTATTGTTTCTTCCCCCCCCCCCCCCCCCCCCACTTGGTGCATTAGCAGAACCTATGAACCACCATGTTCTTCAAAAACTAGCAGTCTAAAAAAACAGGTTGAATAATAATAAGAATAAATTTTAATCACTTGCATTTAATACATGTCCACATTATAATATTAAGCTCAAATAAAATGACCTTAGTTACAACACTAGATATAATAACAACAATAACATAACAGGAAGTTGTCTGGACATTGCAAGAGGGAAACAAAACTTTATAGAGGAAAAAAAAAACATGAGAATAAAACATTTGATTAAAACTCCCCTTCTCCCAATTACTATAAATATGGGGGAAAATAAAATTAAAAATTGCTAATAGATCTAGTACTTCAGAGTTCTTTTAGTACTTTTGAAGAAATTCAATAAGTTATTTCCCTTACACTGCTCTAAGCAGATGGTAATTTTTACTATTACCTTCATGTTCGGCTGAACATTGTTTTTGTTTTAAACAATTAGTAAAATAAAATTACACAAAATTGTTATAAAATTGAAAACAAGAAAATTACAGGTAGTAAATAAAGAACTAGTAAATAGAACTGGGATAAAACTATAGACAATATGACTAGCTAGGAACACAGTCTGACCAAAATATTAGAAACAAAAAAATTACGGTAAAACTACTAATAAAAGTTTTGTACAAAAGGCATGAATGAAAATAATTTAATATTTCTAAAATACGAACCAAGGCTTGTCCTCTAACTCTCACTTTTCATATTTCCTCCCAGGTGAATATTATTTACATTAAAAATTCGGCAGAAAAATTCATTAGTGTTTTTTTTTTCAATTTTGAAAGGTTAACAAAGTGATTTACATAAAATATTTAATTTTAGTCTACAAGAAAAATAAAACCAACAGGCCATGCGATAATCAATATGCTATAGCACTGAAATTCATATCCTCATAAAACATGATAAAAATTTGGCATACCTTAAAAAGTACTTAGCCAGGCTTATAGTAAGTTAATATATATAAACACTGCCAGATTGATATATGCAGGCTTGCTCACAAATCTGTTGTGTAATACTTATTTCATTAATGCAACAAATCATAGATTGTCTTAGTTGAATAAAGATGTAACGACTAAACATAATTTTTTCCCTTTTAGACCTTAGACCTAAACAATTTTGCAAACAACTTCATTTTTTAATTATATTAGAATCAAATTTTGTCAGAGAAATTAAACTTAACTTCAATTCAGAGAATTTTATTGATAAATATAAAAGAAAAATTTAAACTGGTTTGTTAATAGATTTGATAACTAAAAATGGAAAAACCCAAGACAAAATCGCCAGAGTGTATCTTTAATCACATTGTAAATACAGAGTAACTTAAGGAAAAAAAATTGCACAAGTCTGAATTCATAATAATTTTCAAGACTTAAAACACAAAAATTAACCAATCGTCCACATAAACGAGAATATTTTTTTTTTGTGTGTGGTGAAAACAATTTTTACCCTATAGTTACATAAACACTAACACCTGGTCCATTAACTAACACTAAAGCCCTAGAAGTTTCACCTGCACAAAACAAATGGGCAGAGAGCAAGATTTTTGTTTCAATAACACACAAACAAATGCTGATAATTAACCATCCCTGGAACAGAGAACTAAAACATGCAAATATAATATATAACGCTTCTCATGTGAATAGCTTTACCGATGAGTTGATTGATGATTTAACAGAAGAAAATAAATATAGAAGCAGAATACAGTTCTGCATTATTTACACTTGTTGAACAAGCTGGTCAGACAACATCTTGACATTTTGCAAGTTTGAAGAAACAATACAATTATTTTAATATATTTACTTTTGTATTTATATATTATATATATTTATATATATGTATATTATAGTTAGGTAAACAGGCATGTACACAAATCTAATTACTGTACACCATATTTTTTTTTGCGTACACATCAGCACAAGACAATAGTCATATAATACATAAGAGAGAAAAAAAGCACAAATCCCATTTGCCAGCTAGACAAAAAAAAATATATAATAAATTCCATTTCTTTGAGAGTGGCAACAACAAGCAATGCATGACGCAGGCTGCTATCATGACATGACAACTGACACATGACAACTGACATGGTCAAACAGGCAGAGATTCAATAAACATTTACGAAAATGTAAGCTCTACCTCGTCCTGGGTTAAGCCCCCTAGCTGCATAGACAGAGAAAATATGTGGCCTCTGTATCAACAGTCCCATTGAACGCAGACACAAAGAGCTGTTACACATGGCTGGGAGAAGGGTTCCGTCAACGTCTTTTCAGTTTAAATATGGCAGGTTTGTGAAATTTTGATTTGTTGCAATGGTATGTTAGAATAAGTTGCAAGTAAACTTTACGGTGACTTGTTCAAAAGTAAATTGTAAGGGAAGATTAAATAAGGGAACACAATTCAGTAGTGTAGGGGACATGTGTACCATAAGGAGACATGTTCTGTAGTTGACAACAAAACTTGGACGGACATCAACAAGACACACTGTACAAATCTCATGAGGTTATCACACAGCTCTTGGTTCCCTCCTTTTCATAAGCCCATGATTACCTCCCATCCATTAAATACCAACCACTTTTAATTTTGAACAAAAAAAGTTTATGGAAAAAAAAAACCAACCTTAAAACCCCACAAAGTGTAGACAGAGGTGTGTATAGAGCATAAACAAACAAATGTATAAGATTGTGCTAAAAATACCTTCAACTGATCCCAGTTAGACTATCACAGGGTGTTGTACTAACAACCAAATGTAACACATGAATAGGATGAATGAATCAAGTTTGACTTCAGTCAAGCAAAAAAAAAAACATTTCTACCATCTCAAATGGTCAAGAGGAATAAATACCCATATAAGAAGTTTCTTTTTAAAAATATCAAAAGTTATTTAAGAAACTAAATTATCGATAAAATGTTAAAACTTTAATCTGCTACAGCCCAATTCAGTTTATCAATAAACATCTTAGAATCAGACAAGCATTTTATACAATAAAAATATTAAAATACTTTATTTGATTTCTTATTTTCTATCACGAAATTTCATTAAATGCAGACTGGATACTTTTTAACCTTTACACCAATACTTTTTGTTAACATTTGAAAGTAAAATTTTAAGTTTGACCACAGAAATTTTACTCAGTTTTAAATGAACAGCTTTTTTGTTAGTCAAGCAATTTAAGAGTATGACAAATGTACAGAAATAAAAAATGTAAAATATATGCTGTAAAATACCAATAATATATCTTTTAGCTGAGTTTTTTTGTTAAAAAACAGCAAATCAGGATTTTCCTGATTTTTGAAAAAAAAACAAATTTTTAAAAATTTTAAGCGCATGCTTTACCAGCAGATCATTCTTGTCAAAGATTTGAACAATCCATCAGGATAAACTCATAAGAGAAATTAGAAATGCATTATAAATCCAACAGCAACAAAACTACTGAAACAACTGGTCCACCTCTTGACAAACATTTGCACCAAAAAAATAAAATGCTATATACAATTAAAAATCTTTAAAGATGAATCATTTAAAAATATACTAACCAAATAAAATAGCCATTTTAATCCAGCTTGCTCAGTGATAATTACCATGAGGGAAATTTCTTGGAAGGAAATTAAAATGAGCACATGTTCATAAAACTTGAATATCTTTCTCAGAACAGTGAACCCAGTTAACCTCATCTCCACCTTGATGGGTCTAGGTTTAGGTATGTAACTCTTCCCACTCTATAGACGATGTATCCACAGCATCTTTGCTTTGAAGTGCCACCGTAAAAACTATGTCAGTACACTAGACTCAACCTTGGACTTGGCTTCCCCCACCTCTGACAAGACCAATAAGTAGATGAAGATAGCAGTAAACCAAACAGTATCTACAATGAGAATATGAAACCGTTCCCAAAACAAGTTGATGATCAAACTCTGACTGACTGCCTAACCCCACCAAGATGATTTAGCTTGTGTGTGATGACGATGAAGTAGACGACGCCGGGACCTCCTCTACGCTGTTGCTGTAGCTGATCCACTGCTGCAGCAGGAAAGCTGTGATGACAGCCAACACGACAAACAGGAGCAGGATCAGCGCAGCCCACTGGCTGTCTGACAGGGGCGCCCTCTCCTCGTGTCCACTCTCGCGGGCGGTGCTGGTGTGGGTGTTTGACCGCAGGGGTTCAGGCGCCAGGGGTGAGAACACAACGGCGGGACTGAAGGCCCCGACGATGTCCCCTGTGTCTGAGGACAGTCTGACAGCAGCCACCCTTGCCTGGTACTCTGTGTTTGGTGCCAGACCTTCAAGCTGGTACTGTGTGTTGGGTCCTTTATAGATCTACAACAAGAAATAAAGGTAAGTCAATTCATACTAGATCCATAATAAATATTATCTACCATTGTATTTCTTTTATTTCTCTATGGGGGTGCACAGTATTGAAAACCCATCTTTAATTCCCAGTCCACCCAGCTGTGATGGTAATATGTTTAGGTTAAAATATTAAGCCCATAGCAAAAGATGAACTCTACTTTAAAGAAACATTGGATGGTGACATGCCATAAAGCTGAACACACTACTTTCTTGTTGCAACAGCCAAAAAAACATTGAATGTGACAAAGTACTGAGCAAGACATGTGACAGTACTGAGCAAGACATGTGACATAGTCTTGAGCAACAATGTGCTACTTACTTGCTTGTACTCTGCATCGCGTCCATCCATGCAGTAGAGCTGTAAAACATAGGACATTGCATCACCCCCCATGGGCTTGACACCTTGCCATTCAAGCACACAGCCAGTGTGAGTCAAACAGTCAACTTTAGGGGCTGGAGGAAAAAATATTTGAAAATCTGGTTAGGTAACATCACACAAATTCTGAACGTTAAGACAAATTTTTTGTTAACTAAAGAGCACAATATTCTAAAAAATTATTACCTTTCAAAGGAGGGGGTGGGGCCTTTGTGGTGGTGAAGGAATACGTGTCCGAGTATGGTCCAGAGCCTGCCTCGTTGCTGGCAAAGATACGGAACTCATAACTGGTCAGTTCAGACAGCCTGGTCACCTTGTGCGTGTGTGCTGGTCCAGTGTACACGGGCTGAAATCTTCATCAACACAACATACATTAAAATACATCAACACAACATACATTAAAATACATTCACAATAAAAAAGATATCTTATAAAAAATTGTATAGTCAAAAAGTTGCGCAGAAAAGAGCATTATAATGCACAAATAAACTTCAACAACAAAACATGAACACCTAATATATAAACACATATAAAGATCTATCACACATAAACCTGAAGACATGCACATACAAACTTGACCTAGCACATATAAACTTGACATACAAACTTACATTCCGTCTTCCTTCTCCATCTCCAGCGTGTATGTGAGCAAATCAGGATTCCTCCCCTCCCCCCATTTGAGCTTGATTGAGGTTGGTGCCAACATGACACACTCTAACCGAGGTGGACTAGGTGGTAGTGCCTTGGTTAAAAACTTGATGACGCCACTAAACGCACCAACCCCAATTCCATTCACAGCTTGGACCCGAATTCTAAAAAAAATAAGTAATAAAAATAAGTAATAAAAATATGAAATAAAAATAAGTAATAAAATCAGGCATTTAATCATGAATTTGTGTTTTCAAATGCAGATAAAAACAATAGGTGCAAAAAAAAAAACACCGAATTCCAAACGCCTTTTAAAAATAGTGCATAATATTATGCAAATAATTAACATTAATATGGGATGGTGTGGTCGGATGGTAGAGTGCATGGTTGGTAACCCTTAGGCTGCTAGCTATGCAGACCATACTATTGCTTCATATGCCAAGTTAACAAACAAGTGAACTCAACTTCATTTGTGCCATGGACATTCAGGCTTGAAAAGGATAACTTTTGATTAAAAAAGTACATAATATACTGTGGAAAATTTATAACCTATGCATTTAAGTTTATGGATTTTTAACAAATGTTCTTTATAAACAAGAAATGAACATAAATGAAAACCGATTCCACAAAAAGTGGACGGCCTCTTGAAGGTCTGGCACCAAACACAGAGTACCAGGCAAGGGTGGCTGCTGTCAGACCTCTAGAGTTGGCCTAAAGGAAGTGGCCTCTGCTTACTTGTACGTGGTCTCCGGGGCCAAGTCCTCCAGCAAGTGCTCAGTGACAGAGTCCACTGAGATCAAGGGCTTGTCCACAAGGTCTATGTTGTAGGAGGTGATGTCACTGCCGTTACAGTTGGGCTCCCTCCATGTCAGGAGAGCGCTGGTGGCGTTGGCCTGGACTTTGATGGAAAGAATCTGTGAGGGGCTGGAGGGGGGTGTCACGCAGGGGGTGGAGGGGGAGAAGGGGCCGGGGCCAGCACTGTTCGTGGCCTGGAATAATAAAAGAAAATTGTTAATGATAAAAAAAATTTAAATGTATCCTTGAAATATTTTTCCCCAGATGACCATTTATCTTTATACTAACACATACATTTTAATTTTTTCAAGTACTATATCATGAAGACGACTTTCATTCAGCCAAGTAAAGGTAGAGATGGGACTTGATAAAAAACTTACCTGCACCCTAAATGTGTACAAGGTGGCAGGTGTAAGTCCTTTAGCATCAAAACTTTGGTTTGGTCCCACATATAACTGGAAAACATAATTACAACAATTACCAAATGTACAACTTTATCTACTTATAAAAGAAACAATTCACAAGAGTTGGTATATGATAAGTCTGTATATTTGGTGTTAATAAGGACTATAATATTTCAGGAGATCTGGTGATGCTAAAAACTGTATAAAACAAAACAAAAGTAAAACAGCCTAGGTAAACTCTAGTTACCTGTGTGAAGTCTGCCGTGTCTGTTTTTTGTTGCCACTCCAGGCGGTACTCGCTGATGTTGGCGCCATTATTGAATGGCTCCTCCCACGAGACCAGAGCATTATGGGCAGAGCGACACAGAACCTGAGGTGGCCTCGGAGCCTCTGGAACTCCTGCTCCGCTGATCACCTCCAGGGGTTCAGACCAGGGTCCAGCCTGAGGGTAGAAAGACATTACATCAACTACAATAAACTGGACAATAAACTACAGGACACTGGTCAATTAACTACAGGACACTGGTCAATTAACTACAGGACACTGGTCAATTAACTACAGTACACTTGTCAATCACTACAGGCCATGGTTCTATAAACTAGTTGATATCTACTGGACACTGGTCAATATGTACTGGACACTGGTCAATCAACTACAGGACACTGGTCAATTAACTATAGGACACTGGTCAATTAACTACAGGACACTGGTCAATTAAATACAGGACACTGGTCAATGAACTACAGAACAATGGACAATAAACTACAGTACACTGGTCAATAAACTACAGGACAATGGACAATCAACTACAGAACACTGGTCAATTAACTACAGAACACTGGTCAATTAACTACAGAACACTGGTCAATTAATTACAGAACACGGTTTTATCATTATTTGATATCTACTGGACACTTGTAATATCTACTGGACACTGGTCAATATCTTCTGGACACTAAACATCCATCTATAACTATTCACCTGTATAGCCAACTATTATTCCAATACAGTAAAATAGCAAATAGATTCAACACCTACCCCAGCCCTGTTGAAAGCACGAACTTGAAACAAATACGGTCGACCAGGCAAAAGACCAGCCACTATACAATCCCTGTCATGTCCCTTGTAGACCTCTCTAGTTGTGTTATCAGGGGAGATCATCTGGGCAGCAAAAGTTGTCACTTGCGCTCCACCGTCATGATCAGGGTATCCTAAAGTTAAACCAAAATTTAAGTCTGGAACTTCACTACAAAACAAAAACGACAGAAATCTTGTGTAAAACACGAGCAAGCTCTGAGACTCACCCCAGCGCAGGTGTAGGGACGTGGCTTTAGGTTTCCCTTGTAGTTTTGGAACCTGGCATTGATTTGGTGCCACTGGTAGGGTAGTTGCAACACAGCAGTCTGAAAACTAAACCAGAGAGAAACATTCACACTATGCTACACAGTATCTAAACAATCATCCCATTTGTTAAACTAACTGACTCTTTAACTATCAATAAGCTGCTAAGTGTTGAATTAAACCAGTCTCCCGATAACCAACTCATTAATACACAAACTGATTTAACAATAAAAACTGCCAGGTGTTGAATTAAACCAGTCTCTCAACAACCAACCCATCCCTCCACTCTACATCAAGTTCAGAATGTTGTAGATGCTTACATCACTCCTGCCTCCAATACTACAGCAGGCAACACGGACACGGTAGGTATGGCCTGGGGTCAGATGATCAAAGACATGTTCCCTTTCTGATCCTTCATACACTGTATCATAGCCTGCATAGACAGAGAGATCAGTTTATGTCATCTGTAGGTCATACAGACTGTATGGCATACATAGCCATGGGTCACATATACAATACTTAAATTTATTTAAGTTTAAATTTTGAAAAATTACGATATTAAAAAAGTGAGTTTAATTAAATTAAATGTATAATTTAAACAACTATGGAGCACAACTTTAGACATGCCCAAAATAATGATTGTCACCAAAATAATGATTTTCAATGTAATTTCTTCATATTTATTTTAATTAGTAACAGTACATTTTTAAAGGAAGATTTTAATTGGGTATTCCAAGTATGATAAGAAAACACATAATAATATATTATATCGTACAATAACAGATCACAATATCAATAGATGTGTAATTCCAATGTCTTAAAAGGATCCAGGATCACAGAAAGATGTCTAACACTATCACTTTGTGTGCCAATGTGATATTTTGTTACATTTGGTTTACTACTGTATTATCAATTTACTGTAGGTATAGTAGCACACTGATACAATGAAGAAAACAAGACCAGAAAGATGAAATATTTTCAAGAAAACAGCAACAGCACTGAAAGATTCACACACTGTGTGGGTACAAGGGAAATTTAATGGGACAGATAACTCTTCAATAACTTCTATTTCATGAACTGGAAAAATTATACATCCATTGTAGAAAAATAAAACATTTAATGAACCAAGAAAGGAGATATAGCAGTAGAATTCTGAAAAAATGATTACGTACACTGACAAAATCTATTAAAGATTTTAGACTAATAAATGCATTTTATCACACTAATACTGGATTTTTTTTTTAACACACTGCATTTTGAAAGGGATTTTAACATGAAACAATACAACTCCTTACAGTTTGGAATTCAAACATTACAACTACATACAGCTAGGAAATTGAACTATACAACTATACAAAAAGGGATTCAGCCGTTTAAAATACATACAGCAAAGGATTCAAACTATACAACTACATATAAAAAGGGATACAAACAATAAAGCTTTATAGACAAATTGTTTCTATGAGTCAACATTTAAGAAACAACATCAATGTTTACCTCCCTCTGTTGGCAAAATATTCAATGTGAAAAAAAATTTAGAACCTGTTCTTTAAAGCTTTCAAATGTCAAAGAAAAGTTAGATGTTTCAAAGTTAATAGAAAATGATAGTTGTTATCTTAAGACAAACATTCCATTGTTTATATACCTTGGCCATCATCCAACTCCACAATGTATTTGGTAATCTCTGTCCCACCAGAATCTGATGGAGGGTCTAGAAAATAGTTCAAAGGTTACACTTTTTAAAATAAAGTTCAAAGGTTACATCATTAAACATAGTTCAAAGTTAAATCATTATCAGTGTTTTCGAAAAAAGCTTAACAGTTAAATCTGTTGATGGTCCAGAAAATAATTAAATGAAAATAATAGCCACAGTGAGGTTAATGTAATAGAAAATAGTTAAACGGGTCAAAGATCAATTATGTTGATACATCAGAACAAAGTATCTATCAATTGTTAAAATCATTCATGTTGATGAGCTGTTGAAATCAGTAATCTAAACAATACTGACATGTTTAATAAAACCAAGATAATATATGCTGACTGCAGTTACCCCATTAACCTGACAAACTTGCCTTTAACAAACTGACTAACACAACACATAGACTATTTACCCCATGTAATCCTGAAAGAGTAGGGGTTGACCTTCCCCTTGATCTGGGGCTTGCTGGGTGGGTGTGGCCTCTCAGGTAATGTCTTGTAACACACAGTTTCACTCCATTTGCTTTGGCCCTCCTCATTTTTGGCTGATAACTGTAAACAAATACATCAAAAAACAATAAGTTATCTCTTCATGCATTTTAAAAAAAAAATATATAATAGGTGCTACAGATCTGAAAACTTGCTGTGTAATTTACAGCTCAACAAGAAATAACTAAATTTAAATTACAAGCACTCACCCTAAACCTGTATTCAGTGTTTCGACGTAAGTTACGAATAGTGTAAGATAAATTTGGTCCATTGTAAACAGGAATAAAACCATGCCCCTGTAATGAAAAAACAAAACAATGTTCAGATAAAGTTTATCACTGGGATTAAGATAAGGATTAGGATAAGGTTTTAGATAAGGACTGATTCAAATACCGTTGTTTCATCCTCCATTTGAAGCAAGAATTCATCGTCGTTAGGTCGTCTGATCCACGAGATGGTCAGAGCAAAGACAAACTGTTCTGATAACATGGGAGGGTCAGGCTGGGAAGGAACTGACCCGCTGGTGTAGATGCTGACTACTTCACTGTATGGACTGAAACACAGCAACACAGTAGCTTTATCATTTATGACATTAAATAATATGTATTTAAAAAAATATACAATACAAGACTGAATGTAGAGTTTATCAGTTTCTTTGATGTCAGTATATTAAAGCTTTATGTAAATAGCATTATGCTCAGTCACCTCTACTTCCCAGACTCAACTACCCATCAGAGATGATAGATGTACTAATACCCTTCTGCCTCACACTTGGGGATATAACTTATCAAGGTGGTTAAACAGACTGTACTCTGCCATGTTGTAAATAACTTGTCTGACACAAAATATCTTTCCTACCTTTTTCCTAAAGAGTTGACTGCAGCAAGACGGAACATGTATCTGGTGGAAGCATTCAAGCGGGTGACCTTGAACTGTCGGAGAGGACCTGAATAAACTTCACGGAAACTTCCATCTCCAAGACCTTGGTCATATTCTAACAGGTATGCTGTGATTTTAGATCCATTTTCACATGTGGCCTGTAAGAAGAAACAAGACAATCAATACTTGAACTAAAGCATCCTTTAACCATCACACTATTAATCTACCTAGTGCTGTTTACAGCATCTAGCCATTGCAGCTGTTTCATCATGTCATTGGGTCAAAAAGAGGTTAACTTTTTTCCCATGTCCTTATTATATTGATACCTCATTGATTATGTCATAAAATAAAATTGCTGTCCTGGTCATGGGAACAGGTCTTTCAAACAATCATGTTTTATTATTCTTTAAAAACCCTTACCTAATTATTAACGTTAAATCAGATAGTCCAAGAAAAAAATCAATTATCACATTTCCATTTTAAAGTGATGAATGTTTTTGTTGTAAGTTTTGGGGGTTTGCAAGACACTTACATTCCATTTTAAAGTGATGAATGTTTTAGTTTTTGTCGTAAGTTTTGGGGGTTGCGGGACACTTACATTCCATTTTAAAGTGATGAATGTTTTAGTTTTTGTCATAAGTTTTGGGGGTTGTGGGACATCAGGTTCACAGGTGAGGGTCTGGAAGCTCACGGGTTCTGTCAGAGCACCTTTAAGATCATCTCCAAACACAGCACACACTCTGGAAACAACAAGACAATTTAAGATCATCTCCAAACTGCAATTTTATTGAAACCTCTTTGAAATGACTAACTACATGAGAAAACTATGTCTAATAACATAACTTTCCTATCCAGTCAAAAGTAGACTTACTTGAGATGATATTCTGTGGCAGGTTTCAAATCTTTTAATGTGATTTCTGTTGCATCACCACTGGGGACAGGAATTCATAAAATGTTTTTATATTTATATTTTTTTTCCATTGTAGAATTATGTGTATTTTATACTGTACAAGATAGAGCGAAAACTATCACTACTATAAAGTAGAAATTATTAAATGCAAAAAGCAGGGGACAAAAATATTTCTGTGAGATAAAATAATTTCATTTTAACTGACGCCTAAAAAATATCTAGTATTTTGCTGTGACCACATTGTTAATTTATCTTAACCAATTTCCCCAAATAATGCAATTTTGGAAGTTGTTATCATTGCTTGTATGTGTCACATATTTTTTATTTTGGAACAATATGACATCTAAGCTAAAATAAAATTTGATTGAAAATGTATTTAAAAATACATTGAGAAAAAATTCTGTACGGATTTTTAAAAAAACCTTGGCATGCACTGTGCTTTTGCAATTCATAATAAGCCCAAATTCAGTGAGAATTGAAGAATCAAAGTTACCAGAAAACAGTTTTGTATTTGGCATCCTTCCCTTTGTCTGAGAGAAGCAATTCATATTTTAGATCACAGTGGTCAAGTTCCAAATCTGTAGAGTCCATCTCAGGGGGAGACAACTGGATGAGACTACTCCTGGCGTCAACATCTGTAACCTACATAAACATGTACACAATGAGCTTACTACTGTAAAATATTTAAACATCACATTTACACAATTTGGATAGTATAAACAAAATGTCAAACTCAAATATTTTATAATTAACAAAAGGGGTTCAGCTGGCAACAAACCTTAGGTGCTGGCATGGTGGATAAGCATTGCGTTATCAAGGTATTTTCCTCTTCAACATCCATTGGCCCATTTTCTGGGGTGATACAATGTCCATGTATGGGCCCTGTATCACCATGCATTCCAATCTCACCATTCACTGGCAAGAAAAATTGCATATCTAGTTGTAAAAATGTTGGATGTATTAATAGAGGGCCTTAATAGTGTCATTTTATAACATCAGAACAACACTGACTAGTTACATTATAGGCCTATTAAGTTATTTAACTAATTTAATCTTTTGGTTGAAATTTAAGCTAATTTTTAGCATACCTCCCATACCCCCTCTGTTCCGCCTTCCACCCATCGATCGCTGAGGTGTGGGGTAGAAACCATCATTTGAGTTGATACGCCGCTGTTGTAGTTTTTTGCGTACCCTGTTGCGTGTCCTGAGTGTCCTGTCATCTGTAGAGTTGAGTGGAGGACTGGCACCTGTGGTTAACAAAAGTAATGGTGATTGGATCAGTTGTAAAGGATTAAGGCTAGAGCTTAAATATTAAAAAAATTAACAATGCTGAATTAATAACTGTTTAATATATTCAGATTTTGTAAAAAAAACAAAAAAAACATGACAATACAGTATTGTAGGGGTTTATTCTATTTGTATTCCCTATTTAGGTTATGGTAAGTAATTGGAATAGGGCCAGGAACAGGGGTGCTCAATTAACATATACATTGAAAACGTATACAGTTTCCCATGCTTCAAATTTTAATCAAATGAGCTGCATGGGATGATTCTGCACATGGTAATAAATGATTTGTATATATCAAAAGATTATGTAACAGCTACCCATTTAAAGCTAAATATAAATAAATGTATTAACATTGTGTAACTTAAATGTGTAATTATACCTTGAGAGTCCATTTATAAGTTCAGAAAGTTTGCAATGTGTGGTTTTGCTAACTAACTGATAATTTGAAGCACCTGCAAGTGCCTAAAATATTTTAGTTCAGTATGAGGATGAACTCTTGCTCAAGCTTTTGGTAGCACAAAACTAATTTTTTCTTTTAAAGTTTAAAGCAGTAAGTAATAGAAAATCCTTCCATCTACTAGAAATTTCAGAAAGCCTTTAAAAAAATTGTCTAGATCTAGATAAATTAGTTGATTTGTATGTTTTTTAAGAGGGCACTTAGCACTAGATTGTAGATCTAGCTAGATCTAGATCTAGATCTAGTAAGAAACTTTTATGCTAGTAGATAACTAGATTCTAGATATTTCAAAATTTGAGTAAAAATAGATTAATGATTAAGACTAAATTACTAAATACTAGGACTGATGGAGTAAAAATACTAAAGTTTAAAGTAGTCAAGTCTATCTAGAATCTAGATTAGATCTAGATCTAGAATCTAGGTTATATTCAAGTCCTAGAATAATAATTAAATTTGTTCAAAATTTTTCAACTTATTTTAAAACGTAGACTGATATCATTAAAAAATCTCTAGAATCTATAGTTACTCCAAAAAAATTATATTAAAGTTTTTGAATTAGATCTAGATCTAGCCTAAAAATGAAACAGTCAAGTGAACTGTTCGGTAATCGTTAAGTTAGCGGTGCTGTTGTTAGGCAAGCGCCTCTGCGGCCCACTCTGTGGGCATACGCTCCCGCTCAGCAGACGAAATTTGTTGCAGCGAACGGTTTAATCGGGAAATATTCACTAAAAACTAATCTACATCTAGGAGTCAAAATCTAGATCTAGTTATTTAAAAACTGTTTACGAAATGCCAAAAACAAATGTTGAATATTTATTTAGAATTCGTAAAAATTGATTAATCTCATTCACAAAATATAACCCAAAAACCGGATGTTATGATAGGTTTTGCAGTACAAAGCCAAAACAGCTGCTAAAATGGCTGAATGTGTTCATTACGTGGCAGTGTACCGCGTAGCACAGTCGATCACACCTTCCGGGGACGCGTCAATGATCCATACTTTGTACTGATACCGATTATAAAATAGATCTAGGTCAGTCTGAACAAAATGTAAACACAAGGAAATGCTGATAATCATTTTATCAACGAAATATCAAGTGATGTAGACGAGAAAAAGAATTTTAGATTGCAGTAATAAAATGTTGCATCGGTTCAAGGTAGAGACACTAGACTAGTAGATCTATCTACTAGATTAGAATGGAGTACCGTTTCTTTACGGGGGGGGGGGGGGTGTAGAAACATTCTAGAAAGTGGACATTTCTATTACGAAATGTGCACCTCCGCTATGACCTAGGCCTCGCAGTTTTGAAACTACTCATCTACATATGCGTGACTCTAGCCTGGTGGCTTTATAACAGCTTAACCGTAACACTCTCCTAGGCCTATAATAAAACAACAGATGCGACATTAGGGTTTCAATAAAACTGTTTCTCCTTCGATTATCGGACCTGATAATTTATGCTCCTTCACTCACCGATAACGATGCATAATGAAAAAAAAAGCCCTGACGGTACATATAAAACGTCCCACGGTTTAGCAGACTATTCTTCCCCCCTTTCCCATCATAACATTACAAATCCCATCCAATGACGTATATCATAGACCAGGGGCTATCAACCTCATCGTTAGAATTTTTAACGATAAACAACTTTTTTTTTTTTAGAAGAAAAAAAAATGTATACCAAGTCACATTCTTTGGACCTCTAACCGAGTAGCCAATTGTGTACACCACCACCTCCCCCTGACAGAGCGATGTTAATTATGTACTCGTGTTCTAAATCCCTTCACTTGAACGTAGTCACGTGATGTTTGGACCCGTGTCTCACAGCCCAGGGGTCACCAAACAGTTCGGGGTCATGTCCCATACAACCATTAGTTCATGTCCTATTACCACTCTCACTCCACCCTACCTACTTAAATTATTAAAAGTACTATTTAAAACTATTATTACAAGCACTAGCAGATCTAAATAAGGAAGAAGTATAACTATGATATACGATGAATTTTTTTTTTTTAATTATCAGGTTTTAAGCAATAAATGATAAGTAAACATTTAACGCAAGTATAAAAAAATATACGCTAGGAATGTATCAATGTAGACAAGATATACAAGAGAGTATAGTCAACATACACTAGTCAGCATAGTTAACGTGGTTTAATGGAGGATGGGTAAAGACACCTATTTGATATAGTACTAGTACCAATTCATTGTCATGTATTCTTGTTTCTGTTAACTATCAGTGGGCAGTTATTAGGGTACAACAGTTCAAACTGTACACCCGGGGGTACAATTTACCCGACACATCAAAGGGTACAGTTAACAGTACAACACTGGGTACAGTATACACAACATAAAGATACAGTCTGTTTACAATACACACATTAGTACAGCTTATACTATTCAACAGAAAGTAGGTCTACAGCTTGCGTGGTACAACTAGTGGTACAGTTTATAAGGTACAACAGTGGGTACAAGATAAAAGAACTTACCATATTCGCCTTGAGATTGAACTGGGCCATGATTTGTGCAGTTTGGTGGGGTGGGGGACTGTATATGGGGTACATGTACATGTGGGGGCACGGGGTACTGAGCTGGGGACGGGGCGTAGTGCGGGGCACCGTATGACGTGTAATACTGACTTCCGCTTGCAGGGCCACCCTGAAATATCAGAAATAAAAAAAAATAATGACAATATATTTGGAGTCTTGACATGTTCTGGTACCATTATCAAGAAGAGAATCATGGAAAAATTAAACTAAAATTAAACTAAAATTAAAATACAGACCACCCGTATTGTTTAAAAACAAGTTAAGTACCATTCCCAACCTACGGTTCGTGGGGTAGGTGAAGTAGAGTTCACCTGTCCCAGCTACCTCAACATATGAAGGGATAGTGGGGTAAGCACTATACCCAACCGTCTTTACTTTCCCTTTGATGTTTTTATAACTATAAATTAATATTATTATGAGAACGTGTAGGACGGTGTAGGCATGCTCTTATATGGCAGGTACACCACATACCGCTTTATCTGGCAACCCGTAAATACGCCAGACAATCTGACAACCCGTAAATATGCCAATTTGTCTGGGAAGGAATGTCTGCTGGGCCAGCTACCCACCACCCTGGCGTTGTCTGAAATAAATCCTACGCTTCAAAAACCCATTTCTTCTTCCCTAACCCAAGGTATGGCACCCGCGTTTTATACATAGGGACAATTTATGGCTTGTTTTGTTTTCTGACGACATCAGGGATACCGCCCCTTGTTGAGTTCTACGTGGGGTCGGGGGGGGGGGGGGCACAGACTCTTGTCTTTAACGGGACTCTAGCCAGATCGTGTTCTCTGACAAAAGGTTTAGCGACCCCCAGGCGACACTGGACTAGAAATCTATTTTTAAACTGCTGTGCAGGGCGAGTGGCTCCCCTTTGATATCCGATGTAAACAGATGCTATTGGCACGGCGCAATTTGACCTGGCTGAACGTAGACTAAACAGGACCTCATGTATTTCTTTATTTTCATAGACATCTACAAGGACAGGTGGACCTTACTGTTAGACTAAACAGGACCCGAAGGTGGACCTTACTGTAGACTAAATAGGACCCAAAGACCCCATATATTTCATAGAAATTACAGGTGGACCATACGGTTAGACTAAAAAGGACCCGAAGACCTCATATATTTAATAGAAATTATAGGACCAGATGGACAAAACAGGACCGCGATCACTACTAAAGATTTAGTCTTTGACTATTAACGATACGGAAAGAAGAGAAGAAAAAACTTTAAAAACTTCGATACTATTTTATCTCAAGGTAGTGTTCACATTACCCAAATTGATCTATATATATATATAAGCGTCTTATGGGGCGAACCACCCCAACCAACCACCCCCGGGGCGAACCACCCCATCCAACCACCCTCCCGGTGAGCACCCCCTCCAATCACCCCCCGGGACGTACACCCCACGCCCCCTCCTATCACCCTCACGGGTCAACACCCCCGTAAAGCACCACCCTTACTAAACACGACTGTATCTGTATCAGCTCAAGTAAAAGAAAAAACAACCATCTTGTAAACAACTCCTTCAAATTCCATTCATTGAGAACTGTGTGAATGAAACGTTAAGTGGCTGGATTAACCAGAGTAGCACAAACATACCAGCATATGGTGTTAAGAATTTAAAAAAGGCGTGGGGGGGGGTACACTTTAAAAAAAAACATGCCAATTTTAAGTGAGTTGACCCCATTATAACAAGCGATATACACGTTTTGCCTCAGTTAAAAAAAAAGTTGACCACGTGTGTATGAATATATTATATCACGTGTGAGCGAGAGACAAGTAAAAGATCCTAACTTTATTATTAGTAAAGTAATGTGTAATAAATATTTCAGAACTGCCAAAATAGTTTGAAAGGTTGCTGATGCTCCTAACACATCTCACCAAACGTCACGTATTTATAGCTGTCAAAGGCCATCCGGTGATGGTTTTTTTTTCAACAAAGGGGAGACTACAATTAAACGTCAAAATTGTCTACTCTTAGCTTGACGAAAGAATTTAAAGCTAGACTCGTAAAATATAAAAAGTGACTTAAATTGAGGAAACAAATTAGAGATCTGGTCACCCACTGTGTGTGTGTGTGGGTGGGGGATGAGGGAGGATGACTTGATTGGTACATATTATTGCCTAATAAAACCACCATCAAAATGTTGGTGAGCTGGGTGGACCTTACACTGGCCCCCACTTATTACTATAAATATTGATCACGGCAATATTATTGTTGTCGGGCCAATCGTGAAATTTGTAGGCAAAGTCCTAGATCTAACGTATTACGGTTTCGTCGACAAAAAGAAAACGTGGTGTTGAATGCGTAGTACGTGTATGTGGGGGTGGATATGTGGGGGTGAATATGAGTGGGTGGATATGTGAGGGATGTGAGTGGCTGTTGTAAGCAATTAATTGATTTTTTTTTGCCTTTACCTAATGAGTCATCTTCCTCTATTTAGGCAATAACAATAAATACATTTGGTCAATGTAGGATTACCGTCCGTGACTCATACAAGAAATCCTCAGCGCTAATAATTAGACAGAATAGCAGTGATTTGTGTGCGTGAGAAACTGTATGTGTGTAGCGACAGAACAGTACAGTGATGTGTGTGTGTGTGTGTGTATGTATGTATGTATGTATGTATGTATGTATGTATGTATGTATGTAGCGATGAACTACAAATCTCAGGACCTGGAGTCGACTATTGATTCCCCCCCTCCCCACCCCGCCCTTATAAATTTAAAATAAAAATTGTCTCCGATGATGGGGTAGATTTCCCACCACACTGCAATCTTTCTAGGCTTTACGTGACTCGGGCTGCGTACCGACTCTGCAATTATGTGACTCCTATCTGTGCCAGGGGTTTTCTGTGTGACTCAGACTTCTCACTAGGGTGACGGAAAGACAAGGGGGAAGCAACCAGACCACCGTGCAAAGGGGAGGTAAGGCACGTGACACACTTCCCCAGCCTCGAGTCGAGTGCGTGACACCGCAGACAACAACATCCGGTCAGATGTGACCGAGGGGGAAAAATATGATTGAGCCGATGCAACTGTAAACACGAACCACCTGGAAGTACTCAGTCTGGTCTACGCTCGCAGCGCCCCCTATCGTCACCGGATATACAATCATAGAAGCCATCTAGTCAACCTCGGGCGGTACCGTTCAAGGGGCGGAACCCTGTGTGGGTGTGTGTGGGGGGGGGCGTTCAAGGGGCGGAACCCTGTGTGTGTGTGGGGGGGGGGGGCGTTCAATGGGCGGTACCCTGTGTGAGGGGGGGGGGGGTGACAACTACGCATTTAGACTACCAGATGATGAGGGTTGTGGGGGTGTAGAAATAAAGTATTATATGATAAATAAATGGGTTGTATTTCCCTGTTCACTCAAAAGGCGGCCACTTATATATGGGTTATTAATATTTTCCCACAAGAATGCGTATGCAGAAGACAGCATTTTTGTCAACCAATTGTGTCATGTAAAAGATATTTCCAATTTTTTTCAGGCACGGTAGATCATTGCTAATCCAGACTAATAAATTAGTAATTGCTGTAAGTAATTAACATTACTAGGTAGTGATTCACACTATTTTCATAAAGGCCCTAGTACCTATCAGTATACACACGAATCTAGCATTTACTAGAACAAACACATGTAAACAGGGTCCTATTGACTGAGATTACGCAGTACATAAACACATAAGGTCCTACTCACTACTACATATACAGGGTCCTACTGACTACTACATACATAGGGTCCTACTGACTACTACATACATAGGGTCCTACTGACTACTACATACATAGGGTCCTACTGACTATTACATACAAAGGGTCCTACTGATGACAACATACATAGGGTCCTACTGATTACTACATACAAAGGGTCCTACTGATTACTACATACAAAGGGTCCTACTGACTACTACATACAAAGTGTCCTACTGACTACTACATATATAGGGTCCTACTGACTACTACATACAAAGGGTCCTACTGACTACTACATACAAAGGGTCCTACTGACTACTAAATACAAAGGGTCCTACTGACAACTACATAAATAGGGTCCTACTGAACACATACATATGGTCCTACTAATGACAACATACAAAGGGTTCTACTGACAACATACATACAGTCCTACTAACTACTACATACAAAGGGTCCTACTGACTACTACATACAAAGGGTCCTACTGACTACTACATACAAAGGGTCCTACTGACTACTACATACAAAGGGTCCTACTGACTACTACATACATAGGGTCCCACTGACTACTACATACAAAGGGTCCTACTGACTACTACATACATAGGGTCCCACTGAATGCTACATACATAGGGTCCTACTGAATACTACATACATACAGTCCTATTGACTACTACATACATAGGGTCCTAGTGGAGGTGTTGGTCCAGGGGGCTGGGGGGAGAGTATGACGTGGGTCAGGATTCCATGCTCGTCCACGATCTGCTGGACCATGTGACCTGGCGGAACTTGCATGGGCATGGGGACTGGCGGCCCGTTGCTGGATACCATCCGGACAGTAGCAGGACCTGAAACATACAAAAAAAAATATATTGAAATTCATTTAAATCAATTTTGAATTATTCACTGCTCTGAATTTAAAAATAAACATGCATGAAATGAAAAGCAAGAAATAATGTGTAAATTAATTAAGAAGTCTAAAAATAAACATGCATGAAATGAAAAGCAAGAAATAATGTGTATATTAATTAAGAAGTCTATGAACAATGAGATGTTACTTTCGGTGGTGTAATCATAGTCGGTGTATATTCATGGATCCCCCCCCCCAACTCGCACACCCCCTAGTGACGCCACTTTCCCTTACAGGAATCAGCTAGTCTTCTCGTGAGCCACTGTGCGAATTCCCCAGTTTTGTTGAGGGGGTCAACACGCATAGCTCCCCCTCCCCCAGACCATTAACCTAGTTTTCTTTTAAAAAACACTACAGCTGATAGATGTGCTCACGTTAGACTGGCGGTAAACCCATTCAACCCATACCGCTCCTCACTAACCGGTCTCTTCCACCCCTCCTTCCACCCCGTCACAAACACACCCATCCCACCTCCCTCTCCCGTGAAACTCGACCCCATAAAGCGCAGTCTACATCAATCATAATCTAGCAATAATCAACCCTCCCCCTCTCTCTCTCTAAATGTTATACACAGTGAGGAGACATGCCACAATTCTCAGCAAAACTTTCTTGCGACCCCCCCCCCCCCCCCAGCCACTTCCATCTGACAAACTTGCAAAAAGTTGACTAAACCGAATAAAATGCCTGCTTGCAAAATGAACGAATAAAAAACAAAATTTTAAAAAAGTAGACCTGCTAGCAGCTAGAGTAAATATGTTGGTCTACAAGAAGATATCCTTCTAGAATAAGAAATGTGTTTGCCTAGAAAATGAAATCTATCGCCTTGACAAATGGACTAAAAAATGAAACCTATAGTATAAGCCTAACAATTGTAAATTAGTGACCTAACAAGAAAGTATTAGACGAAAACTTACCAGGTTAACATACATAACATGTTTGTCTATTTGTTTCGTTTTATTTGCCGATCTAACATTTCTCATTTCATCACCGACTAGCATAGCTGACTGCTAATAGCCTAGCTGACTTCTAATAGCCTAGCTGACTGCTAATAGCCTAGCTGATCCCAACTAGCCTAGCTGACCCCAACTAGCCTAGCTGACTCCAACTAGCCTAGCTGACTCCAACTAGCCTAGCTAACTGCGAATAGCCTAGCTGACTCCAACTAGCCTAACTGAGGCTCCCAAAATTTTGAAGTTAATTCGTCCTATTTCCCGCGACCAAATTTCTATTTACACTGTGGGGAGAGAAGGGGTAGGGAGGAGGAGGTCGCAGACTTGAGGTCACCATGATCCTGGCACCGTCCAAACTTTTTAACAACTTACATGTAATGTCACACTGACCCTTCCATTACCTCCACACGACTGGCGAAATCCTTCACGCCATTCCTCACAAATTCCCCCACCCCCTCCCCTGCCCCACCATATCACAGCCCCGGCCGAATGTAAACAAGACACGGTCCCCGCATCAAATGGTCATCATATTTCCTACACATAAGCTGACCAAAAAGACGAAGGCCATCACCTGGGGATGTGGGGGGAATGTCGGGGGGAAGAAATATTGAAACAAACTTGGCCAGATTTTGTCGCCCCACAAGGCCTAGTGCAAAACTTCTTAGCCGGACAAATAGGCAAATGCTAGATAAACATTTCTATAACTTGCTCGAGCCATTGTTGAAATAGTTTCATAACAAATACAAAATGCGGACTGGTTGCAGGTTTGAAATGAGGAAAACAAACTATTTCAACGACTTTTGTCTTTTTAATCTAGTAGGTTTTTGATGTTTTTTTTTCTTCTTAATTTTTTTTTACGTACATTACAGAAAATATTTATTAGACGTGGGGTTAACGAAGACAACGTGCCGCACTCATATTTCAGATTTTGTTATTGCGGGCACATAAAGGCAACACGGGGCGAAGGCGAGCACCCACTAGACTGCTGACAAAGGGAAACGACACGATTGTTTCCCTTGCCGTGGTTGTTTCCCTTGATCCCGTCTGATGACAAATGAAAAAACAAAGGGAATGCCTGCTGCGTGTGGTCCCATGGGTCACGCCCACAAGATGCCACACATTTGGGGCAGCACAAAATTTTAAAGTGTTACACAGTGCCAGCTGACTTTATCGTGGCATTGTTATTTATCTAACTGTAAGCCTCGATGACAGTTTTATCTAGACAGTTCGGAAAACTGCGAAGCCAGATTCTATACTTAGAAAATAGCTTCGGTAACTTCGTGTGAAATAGTATCTATGATGTTACCTGCAGGCATAGAGAACGACATTGGATGAAATCTTTTTTATAAGCAGCTAAAAGCAGTTGAGACAAGCAATGCATTTTTAGATATGTCACCTAAAGTTAAAAACCAAAACATTTTGTGCACCTACTATCTTAATATCATGAGTTTCTTTCAGGCATGCCCCCCCCCCCCCCCCCACCATCACTCTCCGGAGAAGCACACCGGAGAAAGATTTCTGAAAAAAAAAAGCACTACTGCTATCACCTACCACCCGACGTTACCTCACCTAACACCATCAGACATCCCCTACCACCCCCACCTTTATTTCCCCCTCCCCCCACACTACGCCAGCTCTCCCTGACTTATCTAAGTAACACCGTCACATCCATGCTATTGTTTTCACTAGACCACGTGTTCCCTGATTAGAAAAGCAAAGCTCGTGTACAAAAAATTGTTTACTGGGACAGGAAGTCCAGCTCGTTAAGTCTAAGGGAGCCATCACACTAGTTGGTCTGGGCTGGGGGGAGGGGGGGGGGGGGTAGGGGAAAGTCTGGGCTAGGGGGAGGGGGGGTAGGGGAAAGTCTGGGCTAGGGGGAGGGGGGTAGGGGAAAGTCTGGGCTAGGGGGAGGGGGGAGGTAGGGGCAAGTCTGGGTCTACTAGGGGGAGTCTGTATTAGGGGGAGAGGGGAGAGGTAGGAGAGAGAGAAAGTCGGGGTCGGGGAGTCTGGGCTAGGGGAGGGGGGAGGTAGGAGAGAGGAAAGTCAGGGTCGGGGAGTCTGGGTTAGGGGAGGGGGAAGTAGGGGCAAGTCAGGGTCGGGGAGTCTGGGCTAGGGGAGGGGGGAGGTAGGAGAGAGGAAAGTCAGGGTCGGGGAGTCTGGGTTAGGGGAGGGGGAAGTAGGGGCAAGTCAGGGTCGGGGAGTCTGGGCTAGGGGAGGGGGGAGGTAGGAGAGAGGAAAGTCAGGGTCGGGGAGTCTGGGCTAGGGGAGGGGGGAGGTAGGAGAGAGGAAAGTCAGGGTCGGGGGAGTCTGGGTTAGGGTGAGAGAAGGAGGGGGGAGGTAGGAGGTAGGAGGGGAAAGTCTGGGTCGGGGACAGTCTGGACTGGGGGAGGGGGGAGGTAGGCTAGGGGAACGACAAGATCGGGTAGAGTCTGGGTTAGGGTGAGAAGGGGGAGGTAGGAGAGGGGAAGTCGGGGTCAGGAGGAAAGTCGGGAGTATGAGAGGGGAGGGGAAGGGGTAGAGACTGGTAGGGAGGTTGAGAGAGGGGGAGACAGGATAAGGTGTTGTCTGTGGAAGGAAGGGGGGGGGGTGTCTGGAAAAGAAGAATGTGAAGGTCATAGCCGATAAAATGTATCGAGGTATCTGGACTGAAAAAGCTGCTACTTGAAACAAATTTCTCTTAAGTTTTTAAAAAATTAAATTTGTATTTATCAGCTGGTGTGTGATAACGGAAACAAAATGTTAGAGAGGGGGACGGGGAGGGGGGGACGGGGGGGGGTTGTAATATATAACGGCGAGGGGGTCACTACTGGAAACAAAATGTTAACAAATGTGTATAGGGGGAGTAATATAACTCGAGGGTGAAGTGGGGGGGGGGGTGGGGGGGGGGGGTAACTGCCTAGTGAGTCATAGCTAAACTCTAGACCTAGCACTCTCCGCTCCTGGTCATCTGTCAAACTAGAGACAAACAAACGGGTCAGCGATAGGGATCTCACACACGCCGAGGGGTGGGGGGGGGGTGTTGACGTGCAGTTACGAAATCTGGATAACAAAATAATTTTCTAGTTGCTTCCCTTTCTCTTTGCTAAGGATAATTGCACAAGTGCACGAAAGAAAAGAAAATATAGTGAAGGGAAAAAAAAAGAATTTTTTTTAATGTCGGCAATATCATTATCAACGTAGACCCGTGTTAATACTTGCCCGAGTAAACCCAGTTATATTCTATACGTATCCTGTCAGACGTCGATGATGATAGTGTCTGGGGGAAAGGGGAGGGGCAACATGGCGCGCTGTCTCCGCTGGACACATACTGGATACTCGGGATGTTGGATACAACACTGGATACATGCTGGATATATGACGATGGAAAGATGCCTCCGTGGTTGGATAAGTACTGGATACACGGAGGAGTGCAGCTGTCCCCCTCACGTTTGTTTATATCATCCACAAACATCATCCTTATACATGAAACGTTAAATTATAACACAATTCGTTCATTTATCCAATTTGAATAGAACAAGAATTTAATTATTCCGGATTTAGATTCATTAGTTTTAATTATAAGCACTCTCCAACACGAGAAATATAAAGTAAATCCAATTAAAATTTGAGTATCTCATGGTTTAGAATGAAATAGTTTCCGTCAGCTAAACATGGACGAGAATCAAATTCCTACAGCTTACAAGTAACAAAGACCGCTAACCCAGTGGAGACGACAGAAGAATGGTAAGAAAGCTGGCAGGAAAAATCGAAACTTGAATGAGTCATTTCCCCTACTGGACATGGCCTATTGACCGGGGCACCACATTTCACATCATATTTTGGGTACGGTTAACTTGATGGTCAGCTGCTGGCTTTGTGTAGACGGTACAGGGTGTCTATGTGTGCCTACCGTCCACATAGACGTCCTTTACCGTCCAAATAGACGGTCGGTACTAGGCATCGAAATGGACGGTAAAGAGCGCCTATGTGGACGGTAACGGACGTCTAT